TATAATAAAGGTCACAAAGTCTTATTAAAGGCCACAGGTGATATTTGAAATGGAGACAGCTCTCTTGGTCGTGGATAAAAAGCTAAATAGCAAACATAAGGGCTTCTTTGGATAACATGACATTTCATTTGGAATCTAGTTTTTGAGGGGTGGGGAACCTCACAAAATGGTTTTAAAGTTCTTAAGGAAAAATACATACGAAAGACATAGGAGTGGACAAATGGAGTGTGATAGAGTGAAGTCCCTGCAGAAGTCGGAGTTTCATGCCCCACAGAGCTGCTCCTCAGTCCGGGGGCAGGATGAAGCACCGCCTCGGGGACTCTCATGGCAACTACGCCACATTCTAGAGGCAAGCTCGAAACAGATTAGAAAGCTAAATGAAAGATACCAAAATTCTTAGGTAAGTGAATACCCAGATAAATAAATAATAAATAAGTATTGTTAAAATAAAAGTTAGAAAATTGTAAGAATCTGGGGATAGGAGCCCTTCTTAAGCAAGACAGGGCACTGCAAAGCCACGCGGACGGTGGCGGACACGCGGTCGCAGTGATTGCCACAGTACCCTGTGGGCAGTCTGCTGGGTGAAATGTAGAAGCCATCGAGAGAAAAATGACTCAGTGGAAGGTTAGCACCCCATCGGTCTATAAGAAAACGATGAATAACCTAATAGAAAACTAGGCCAAAAATACGAAGTCACTTAACAGCAAAGGAAGTGCAAAAGGCCAATAAACAAGTGAGAAAAATCACATAATTTTACTAGGTATCAGGAAAGTGCCCATTAAAACAAAAAGAGAAATACTTTGCCTCTGACAGCCAAAGACTCAAAAGATGGATGCTTTACAGCGTTACGAAGGGCAGAGAGCTCACATGCTGGGCGTTGGTGCTGAGGACAAACTGCTACAGACCCTTGGGAGGGTAATTGACCTCAGGGCCTTGGCCGTGGCATTCACGTGGCGCTGTGACAGTGGGGTGTGTGGAGTTGGTCGTGGTCTTCACGTAACTCTGTGACAGCCGGGCGGTTGTATTAGCACAGCTCAGGGACAGTACTGGAGGTATGACTTGGCTGTGACCGTGGTGGTGGTAATTACACCTGAGAAGTTAGTCTACGCATAACTGCTACATTAGTCGTGGGGCTCACCCAGCGTTTCATTAAGGCTGGTGGTAGTGGTCACAGGTCACATTAATTCTGCGATGTTATCTGTGGTGGAATTCACAATCATCTGTGACATTGGTTGTGGTCCTAGTCATATAACTGCAAAGCTGGCGGTGACGGAATTCACGTGGCTCTGCAGTGATCAAGGTGGTGAGATTCATTCAGCTCTGCAGTGTTGGTCATGGCATTTGTTATTCTGTGAAGTGGGTGCAGGTGGGGTGGTGGTGACGGTGTTCACACAACCGCGGTGGTGGGCTGGTGACGGTGTTCACACAACCGCGGTGGTGGGCTGGTGACGGTGTTCACACAACCGCGGTGGTGGGCTGGTGACGGAGTTCTAATGGTGCTATGACATTGATAATGATATTTACATAACTCAGTGGTCATGCTGGTGGTAGAATTTTCATAACCACATGGTTGGCTGTCTATCCTCTTGTCTCTGTGGCATCGGTCACAGGGTCACATAGCCCTGTCACAGTGGTAGTGTAAGCACACAAGCGTACACATCGCCTGTAACTGGTAGTTGCTCTCTCTTGCCGTCAGGACGTCGTCTCCGGTGTTATCCCATGACTCCGGGGCTGGCTGTGATCTTCACACGCCGCGATGGTGGTAGAGGTGGCGTTGCAATAGCCGTGTGATGGAGGCTGTGGCACTGCAGTGTTGGAGGCTGTGTCCACAGATGCTGAGAAACTGATCATGGTGCTCCTATCCCCTGCAACATTAGCTTATTGTGGTGGTGGCCTAACTGTGCAACATCACATACCTCGTGACAGTGGTGATGGTGTAACTCAGATAGTGCTCTGACCTGGCCATGGTACCAGCAGGCCTCAGAATGTTACAAGTTCAGTTCCAGGCCGCTGCAACAAGGCAGATATCGCAGTAGAGTGAGTCAAGTGAATTTTCGGGTTTCCCAATGTATATAAAAGTTATGTTTACACTATACTGTAGTCTATTAAGTGTGCAATGGCGTTATGTCTAAAAAACAATGCATGTATCTTAATCAAAAAAACTTTATTGCTAAAAAATGCTAGTCATCACCCAAGCCTTCAGCGAATCTTAATCTTTTTGCTGGTGGAGGGTCTTGACTCAGTGTTGATGAAAACAGTTCTGCAAGAGGTGACAAAGCAAGCGCAGTGACGTGAGTTATGCCTGCATTTACACAGCTCTGCGACGATGGTGGCGTCGGCGTCAACGCGTCACTGAGGCCGCGATGGTGCTCATCTAGGCCTGCGACGTTGGCAGGACAGTCAGGTGGGTCTGCCTCCTCGGGCTGACGTTGTTAGTCACAGGGCCCTGCAGTGCGGGTGGGAGTGTTTGCATAACTGACGACAATCATGGTGCTAATGTATCTTTGTGACACTGCGGGTGGCATTCTCCTGGATCTGCCAGGACGGTTGCGGGTCCAAGCGGCTCCGCACCCCACGGTGGTTGTGCCGGCCTTCGGTGACTGATGGGTTGGATGCACTGGTCCTGTAACTGCAGTTTGTCACCATCTTCCCGTTACCCAGTGATGGCGGTGGTGGTACTCACGCAGCTCTCCCCTGCTGGCGTGGCCTCCACGTAGCTGTGCCAGGCTGATCGTGGGGTTTGCGACCGTGAGGTCGCTGGTTTTAGTCACATAACCCTGCGGTGGTGCTGGGGCCCGTGTGCCTCCTCAGCAGCGCGGACTGTGCTCTCATGAACACGAGCGGTGCCGGGGGAGTCGAATGGCTCTGAGGTGGTGGCCCTGGTGGCATTCACCCAGTTCTGCGGTGGTCATGGTGCTTACATTCCACAGCTCTGCAGCGGGGGGGTGGGCACACGAAGCTAGGCAGCGCCCTTCGCGCCATCCCATCACTGCCATGGTCACCGCAGTTCTCGGAACGCTCCTGACGTGGCGGACTGGGTGTGCGCAGCCCCGCCGCCGGGGCCACGGGGGCACAAGCTCAGGGCTTGATGTGCGCTCAGATAAGTTTTCGATGGTCCCACGTGGTGGTGTTAATACACCTGTGACGTCGATGACCGTGGAGCTGCGGTGTCGCTGCGGGCCGCTGGGAGTAAGCACTCAGTGCGGCCGGTCCCGGCTCTGCCGTCCCTCGGGGCGCCTGGCCGCAGGCCCCGCAGCTCTTTGACGGCCGTCACAGTATTCAGGTAACCTGAAGTGGTGCTTGTCACAGTCACACACTTGTGATGGTGGCCACGGAGCGTCCCCCTAGGTCTGCAGCTGTGGGTGTAAAATCGGCATGGCTCCAGAGGTGCTGATGATGGCACTTGCATGTCTTTGAGAGCCAGTGGTGCCGCTGTGACACAGCTGTGCTACTTCGGTCGCAGCAATTCCTTCACTTTGGGATGTTGCTGCAGGTGGCATTCACGTAACTCTGGCGTGTTGTGACAGCATTGGGGGTGCCAGCTCATGGCTGCAAGGTGGGCCGCGGTCTTCACATATCTTGGGGATAGAGGCCGTGGCATCCACACAGCTCGTAACGGCGCCTGTGGTATTCACAGACCTGCGCTACTATTCGTGGTTTTCATATGACTTGTGATAGCGTCATGCTGCTAACCCGGTTCTGCCATGTTGATCGTGATGTTCCTGTAACTCTGCAATGGTGGACGTGGTATTTACAGAAGCCTGCGGCTTTGGTGGTGGTGGGAGTTACGCAGCCCTGTGACATGGGTGCCTGTGACATGGGTGCCTGTGACATGGGTGCCTGTGACATGGGTGCTGGCATTCAGGAGTCTGCGATGTTGGTCACTGTTATCACACCGCTTGCAGTGTTGGTGGTCATCTAATTCACGTGTCCCTGCCATGTTGGTCACGGTATCCACATAGCTGTGATGGTGGTGGCGGCAGGTAAATAGCTCTGTGACGTGACGGTGGCAGTTTCACTGACTGTGCAATGTCCAGAGTAAAAGCCACATTTTTGGGGTAGAGAGACTTAGGTTTAGAGAAGTTTTGCTTAAGGTTACATAATAAGACATTACAGAGCCAGGCTCAAATTCAGATTTTCTGACTAATTCAAATGCAGCCTTTTCTGAATTACACCATGAAGTGTCTTCCTGCTGAGGCTAAATTTAAAGGCATTGGTACAAAACATCTGTACCTTCAAACTCCCCGTGGGCTTCAGAACATAAATATGGTATCTCCACCATTCTAGTTGTTTATCTATAACCTTAGTTGTGTCCATATATTAACACACATTCACACACACACACAATTTTCATGTGAGAAATTTATAAAAAATTTAACTACAAATGTAGATGTGTAAATTGAACCTCTGAAAATTTATGTTAAATAATGCAGAAAGAAAAGAGCTCTCTGGTAAACGAAAATAAAGCGTCTCTGAGGATAATCTATATTCATAGAATCTAAAAAATATTTTTGAATAATAAAATTTAATATTGGCAAAAATGTTGGTATTTTAGTGTCTTTGTTCTTTTTTTTTAAATTATAAACCTCTAGAAGCCTGGTAAAGGACTAGAAATATGAAGCTGAGATGTTGACGTCTGGGTGGCAATTACGGGCACATATGTGTTTAAGCACTGAATTATCCGTTTAAGCTTTCTGCATTTTATGGCATAAAAGTTACACCTCAACAGGAGTTTTTAAAAATGTATTTCTAAGGAAAATTAAAATATTACAGGTTTCAGAAAAGCTGAGTGTAGTGCCAGTCTAAGCGCTCAGGGTATTTTCTTATGAGCATCAGTTATTGCAGTTATAGAAACAGGACTAAGCGTCACCATGAATGTAAAGTTAACCGTGATTAAGAAATGTGTGCGGCTTCCAGGAATGCCTAGAAGTTGTCAGGAAATGTCTGTTCACCTTAGTTCCCAGGCTCATGATTTACGTTTTTTCCCCTTGCAGTACTTGGGGTGCATTGAAGTTCTACGCTCAATGAGGTCTCTTGACTTCAGTACAAGAACACAAATTACCAGGTAAGCCCTTTCGAAAATGGACCCCTGTGATTTTACTTAAGAAAGCAATGTTTTCAGAGGGTAGCAGCCTAGAAATTTCCAAAGGGAAAGGCTGCCCCTTGAGTGCTGGTGACTGGTGACAAGGAGTCAGGACCCACTGTGTTTTAAGACTTCTACATGCTTACCCATATTTGTGACATGTGTCTCTTAACCTGGCACCCTGAAGGACACTCCCACTTCCAAGCGCTTTTTATGATTAAGCTGTAGACAAACAGAGTGTTTATATTTGTTTCTTTACTAAATGAAACTCTAATACCAGATTGATATTTTAAAATTTGCTAAACTCTGTTCTTTTTAAAAAGAAAATCAAGATGTCAGGAGAGAATTTTCCAACAGTATACACAGAAAATATATTATGGGAGTAATAATTTAAAGAGCAGCCCAGCCCAGCCCAGCCGGTGTTGCTCAGTGGTTGAGCTTTGATCCGTGAACCAGGAGGTGATGGTTCGATTCCGGGTCGGGGCACATGCCTGGCTTTCCGGCTCCATCCCCAGCAGGGGGTGTGCAGGAGGCAGTGGGTAGGTGCCGATGCAGTGATGTTTCTGTCTCTCCTTTTCCTTTCCTCTCTCTCTAAAATCAATAAAAAATATTTTAAAAAATAAAGAGCAAACTAGTTCTTTTAAAGTGTCAGTGACTTTGGACAGGTTTATATATTCTCTATCATCAACTAGATTGTGAACTTGAGGGCCGGTTGTGTATTTAAGCATTGTTGTTATAAAATCCATAGCCTAATACAGTTTATATATTTAGAAAAATGCCAATTCAAGTCATCTTGAACAGGAGAACAGGAAAGCTAGGAATGATTCTGTTAAAAAGCTGTTTCCATGGGTGATTAGCATTGCTTTGTCAGTTGTGAAATCGTTTAATCTGAATTGTGACCTCAGAAAATGCCTCATATTTATTTCATTTAAATCACTGCATTGTATATCTTTGGGTTAGCAAGCCAAAGTCTAGAGATTGAGCTTCAGAAAGCCATTATTTGTGGTAATTAACAGCTAAATGTGGACACACCTCAATTCTGTGTTTTAAGCACCACAAGATACCTCTTCCTCAATGAAGAAATTCGTGTTCAAAAGAGTTGATGTTTGTCTTTTCTCTAAAACTGCCCAGGACACACGCACACGGTGGGAACACACCAACATTCCTAATCTACACTAAGGGAAGAATCCATCTCCACATATTTGTAGAAAATGGTTTATGAAAATTGCCAAGGCTAAAGAATGGTATTTTGAAGTGAGAACATTTAAAAGAAAAGTTTGAACATTTGCTCAGTGAGTCATCCTGCCCATGACAAGGCACGTGCGGTGCAGTGTCTGTGGGCAGAGCGCTCTGCCCTGTCCCTGGGGTAATACTGGAACCTATGACGCTATCCACCTTCTCCTGTGTGGTGGCCATTGTTTTTAAAGAGAATTGTCAACTATTTTTACTGAATTCTCTTTATAGATACTAGAACTTCTGAGACAATTCATGTCATCTCAATTGTCCTGAGATATTCATTGAGCATTTACCGCTGGCTGTGGGCGTGCAGAGTGGCGACCAATGTGGGCTGTCCTTCTTTACTATGCCTTCCAGTTTGGGGAAGAAAGGTGCATATGCAAATGGCTGAGGGGCCTGGGAGGGATACAGCCACATCCTGCTCCTTGGGAGGGGTGATGGGCCGGGGTCAAGTGAACAATCCCAGGGCCCTTTTGGGTGAGGGTCTTAGCACTCTGAGGTAGAACCCAAATGGGTAGATGTGAAAATAACATTGTAGAAAAAAGCCATGGAACCGACCTCCAGTCCCATTCTGTTTAGATTTTAGCAAAGGTGCAGCTATGTAGGAGGCTGAGTAAAGCACCACTCTTGGACACATGGCAGTTGGTGTTGAATTCTGGTTGTATCAGAATTGCTTTGGGTTTATTAGACTTTTTGAAAAGTATTGTTTGCTTGTCTCCACAATACTATCTGTCTCTTGCCTCATTTTTATCACATGACCCATTTTTTATTTTAGTTAATAGCTGGAGACCACTCATAGGAAACAATATGACAAATCAATGTCAGAAAGAAGCCTTTGCGTTTAGGAGAATACCCAGCAATAGTGTCTAGATGTGGCACATGGTGGAGCTTTTAAGGCCTCCATGGTAACAGTGTTAAACATGTCTGGGATTAAACTCCACCACTGTGGCTTTATATACTAAAGGCATTCTTGAAAGGTTGTAGGGAAATATAAAATTGCAATTAAGTTATATTATACAGGTTCTAGGAGAACCTGTTTCTGAAATTTTTTAGCTATACCTTTCATAAAAAAACATTTTTATAGAGCCTAGCTGGCACGGCTCAGTGGTTGAGCATCGACCTATGATCCAGGAGATGGAGGTTCAATTACTGGTCAGGGCACATGCCCTGGTTGCAGGCTCGATCCCCAGTAGGTGGCATGCGGGAGGCAGCCGATCAATGACTCTCCCTCATTATTGATGTTTCTATCTCTCTCTCCCTCCCCCTTCCTCTCTCTGAAATCAATAAAGACATATTTAAAAAAAATATTTTTATAAACAAATAAGCAATCTCTACTCACCTGTTCCACTATTTCAGGTTTTGGATATAAGTGTCTTTTGAAGGTTTTGACAGCTGAACCAAGTGTCCTTTTGTCGGGTCAGTTTAATTTTATGCTGTGTCTGAGTTCAGATTGACTGTGGTGCTTGCAACATCGGTACTCATGCATTACTGATTTCTTACTAGTAGATAACTTTAAAAACTACCTGGGAGCTGCCATTGCTGTATGCTTAGTTTCAGCTGTGGCTGTGAAATGCCTTGCACACTAATGCTTTGGGCAGAGGAGCTTGGTGGCTTGTTCACACTAATGGGTGCCTGCTGTGTGGAGGATATGGCCTATATGTGGAGTCCACCTCTACTAATTTCTACCTCAGTGGCTATTGTGAGAAACAGGACAGTTTCTACATCTGTTGCACATAGAACAGGGTCTGGCAAAGAGGCAGCCTTGTTTATGTGTTTGCTCTGCCTCATTGCCTGAGCTTGTATTCAGCACAGTGGGTGCAAGACCCCAGTATTCAAAAAAGAAGGGGTGTTCGTGAGCATGAGAGCAACCGAGGTTGTCTAGATGGTGGTCTCAGCAGCTGCTGCTTTTCTGGGTCAGTCTGCTGGTGGGGTACAGAGAGGAACTGAGAGAGATGGCATTTGTGAAAGTCTGCCCAGGGGACAGAGATGCACTCCAGAAGAAGAAATAGCTTCTAAAGAAGGAAAGAGCTTTCCAACGTGCCCTTAGTTGCGAAACCCAGTATGGCCTTACCCACTAATGTGTCCCCTGTCCAGTGCGGTTTTAGAATGTGGCGTAGGGTGCTTCCCCACACCCTGTAGATTCGCAATGACATTGCCCTGTTGCAGGCGATCAGAAATCCCGCTGCCGAGAACCATGGGTCTTGGCTAGTCTAGTGTTTCTCAAACTTGCCCCTCTGGCTGATGGAAACTGGTTTCATCCCTCCTCACCACCAGCACACTGCACAGGCTGTGAAGCCCCTTAGAAACCACAGTCTCCTGCATGGGTTTCATACCATGCAGTGCAGCCCGAGGGGTGGGCAGGAGGGTCGCAGGTTGGCGCTGCCGTTGGTGGGTGGGGGTCCTAGATCCCGGTGGGGGAGCAGTCAGACACCTCTGCTTTCATCTGAGTTAGGCCACTGGATTTCCACATGATGTTATGTGGCCAACACTGGAAAACCGCTGCTCCAGTGTCTGGCCTGCCCTGGCCTGAGCCTGGCTTTCAGACATCGCACCCTGAGAAGTCCTGTCGTGTGACTCTCTCACTGGAATTGGGGGATGGCTTGCATTTCCAGTGAGATGAGTCAGGGGAAGCCGTGCTATCTGACCTGACTCCGGAGAGCAGCCGGCTGCCGGCCCTGCAGTGTTAGGAAGCCCCCGATGTGCCCTTGGCCACAGCCTTACCTACTTTCTCCTTTCCTTTGATTTCCTCATCTGCTGATTTTAATTTTATTTATTGTGTTAAATTTTCCCTATTATTGGAAGTCATCTTAAGCCATTTTTAGGACATGGGAGGCTATAGATCTATGCACAACTATGCCCAGAGCTCTAGAGAGGCGGCAAACACCTGACATGTATTTTGGGTTGTAAACGACTCCACTGACTTCTGCGCTGCTTGGGTAGCCAGGTACCGGCCAGGCCTGCTTTCCCTCAGGGTTGTGCAGACACCTGGGCTTAGCCACGTGTGGCTTTGCTACACTTTCAGGGTGGGCTCAGCTAGATGTAAATGTTGTCCAGGGCCCAACATAAACCCGCTTTTCCCAAACTGTAGAGAGTGAGCAATTGAATCTAGCTTAAGTACTTTTGTTTTTCTTACTTTGAAAGCTGTCATAGTTTCAATGGGCCCCGAAGACCCTGGCTGGGCCCAGGCCTGCACCGCACCGCCCGTGGGTGTGGTCTCCTCCCCGCCCACCACGCCCAGGGCTCTGCTTCAGAATCTGGTGTTTTGAAACTTCTCCAGGAACATGCATAAAATCCCTTTAGTCTGAAAACTAAAATCAAAACCTGCAAAAGGAAAACGTCTTTCTTTGGGAGGCATTTCCCTTTCTTCTTACTCAGCGTACCGGCGGGGTCTCTGGAGGCTCGTTTCTGACGTGGGATGTTGAAGTTCAGAGCAGTGACCATGCCTCTCACGTGACCCCAGCACAGGGCAGAGTGTGAGGAGCACAGGCTCGCGAGCAGCAGGGAGGGACAGTGCTGGCACACCCGAGCCGTCGGCTGATGGTGCACGCAGGGGACTTCGGTTAGAAGGTAGATGTGTGACCACGTGGTGTTGGTCTGACGCTGCTGGGCAGTTGACAGCTATAGGGCCTTGAGTTTGAACAAAATAGAAGCACGCTGTTGGTGATGTGAAGGGAAAGGAGCAGAGGCCGAAGTGGGTGCTGTGGCACGGTGTGCAAGGCGCCTGCCTGGTGGGGTGGCCTGCAGCT